GTAGAAAAAGCCCAGCAGGAACTCATTAGCATAATAGGCCATACCCAGCAGCAGGAACTCATTAGCATATTGGGCCACACCCCTGACAGCAAAGCTCATTACCTTTTTTTGTAGCAGGAACTCCTTTGCATCTTAGGCCACACACCCCTAATGTAGCCAGTCCTAATGAGTTTCTGCTGTTGGGTGTGGCCTATTATGCTATTGAGTTCCTGTTGGGCGTGGCCAACTTGGGAGCCAGCCAGAACTCCGTTCCTGTGCGTTCCTGCCCAAAAATAGCCCTGGGTGTGATGATCCAGTCTTCTGGGGTGAGGAAAGCCCATCACGAATATGTTGCTAATACAGGTAAAAATCAGTACAGGCTATTCTAAGATTCTTCTATATAAACGGTGGGCAATATATTCCAGCAGCCCTCAAATTGTATCAATCCAAAATGGTCTCCCAGCTTCTGTAATGGACAATGTTAGGCCCACCCACCTTCGTGTTTTGCCCCATTAGAAAGAACTCAATCAAAAATTTTAAGAGCAGTATTTTGATTTCCTGGATGTATATCAAATGCAAGCCTGTGCCTAGATTCTGGTATGATTAAATTAGAGGCTAGGGTAAGGCTCACATCTATTAATCTATGGCTTAAGCTAAACCATTCCTCCCAAGACTTTGCATCGTTAATTCTCCGGGATGGTTTTCAATCCACTTGGTTAAAGGCGATCTGTCACAATTTCTCTTAAAAATGGCCTTAGATGAAGCAAAGGCCCTGGTCAAGCAAAGGATATTGGACACTGAAAGGCAGGGATAGATCAACAGAGTTTCAAAGCTCCTGGTGTCAAAGAACACTAGATACCATTGTTATTCTGGCAGTTTACTTATCGCTGTTAGAGATCCCACCGCAGGGCTTGCTCTATGGCTAGATGGAATATACTCCCCTCTGCAGTAGTGGAGGGCCGTTATAGAAAGATCCCATTAGCAGAGAGGGTTTGCCTATGTGGAGCAGGGAAGTTCGAGACAAACGACCATATTTTGCTTCACTGCCGTTTCTACCAGGAAATTTGTGTGACGATTATTGCACCCTTGCTTGGGAGGTTTCCTGCCTGCTCTGAATCTGAAATTTATGAGGAAGTTCCTTTCAGACATAAATCCTCAGCTCATACTCTCTTGTGCCAGATTTCTTGCAGTGTCATGCAGAATCCGCAGGGAATTAACACAGAATGTAGCAGAACCATAAAATGTAGGTGTTTTGTTCAATCTGTTCTGTGATTTTAAGAATGCATAGTAAAAAGGTAAAGGTTCCCTTGCTCGAAAGCCAGTCGAGTCCAACTCTAGGGTCCGACAGCCAGCGCTGTCCGAAGACGTTTCCGTGGTCATGTGGCCGGCATGACTAAACACCAAGGCGCACGGAACGCTGTTACCTTCCCACCGAAGCAGTACCTATTTATCTACTTGCAATTTCTTGCTTTCGAACTGCTAGGTTGGCAGGAGCTGGAACTAGAGACAGGAGCTCACTCCGTCATGCGGAGTGATTTTAAGAATGCATAGGCCATTCAGTAATTTTTAATATTATATATTTCCTAAAATTTAAAAGACTCATGTGCATTGCTATAACTGATCTTGTGCTGATCTCGAATTGTGTTAATAGATTTGATTTGATTTGTCCATCCAAGTCATTTTGCTTTCATTGGATTTGAATTTTCATGTAACTCTGTTCGTAAGTTGGAATTTAGTTGTCTGAAGGATAGCTATATACTTGATGGGCCATCTTCATTTTCAATAACTCATTTCTTTGCCTTATCAGGGAACGCTTATCATTCCATTACTGTACTCTGTGCTGTATGATGAATCTGAGTGGGAGAAACCATTTAAATTCTATCCTGAGCACTTCCTTGATTCTGAAGGAAAGTTTGTCAAGAGAGATGCCTTCCTGCCTTTCTCTGCAGGTAACTCCGTTTAGATTGATCATTCCCAAAGTCATTTACTTAGAAGAACACTGTTCCAGGTGGCCATTTCTCAAAAATTCTTTCAAGATTACCATTCTTCCTCAGTACCGTTAATCATTATGATGCTAAAATTCATTGCAATGAATTTTAACTGAAATTGTAAGCTAAAAGCGAACATTTTTCAAGCATTTTGTATGACCACCATCTCTTGGGTTTTTAGGGTTTTTTGCTTTACTGTCTCCCATAGTTTGTAGACCCCCCTCCCTTATTTTCATTGTAGTTTATAGAAAATGCAATAAAAAATCCCCTACGGGGGGCATAAAAAAAACATTCTGATGCTACGTACTTTAGTCTGCCTTAATGGTCAATTTTTTCTATTTATGGTAAATTACTTTGGGCATCATTCCATGGGGGAAATGGCAGAAAGCTTTATAAACAAGTTTAAATAACAGGGCTTCCCTGCCCCATCTGCATTGTCACAGGTCGGCGAATGTGTGCTGGTGAGACCCTGGCCAAAATGGAGCTCTTCCTCTTCTTTGTGACTCTCCTGCAAAGATTCACTTTCCAGCCAGCCCCTGGGATGTCGAGAGAAGATCTGGACCTCACCCCTGCAGTTGGCTTTACGACGCCTCCAGTACTCTTCAAATTATGTGCTTTACCACGTTCTTAACCTCCAACCATGCTTTGCCTCCTTCTGCACACCACCCTCTTCTTCTGCACCTTTTTGCCTAATAAGGACATTTCAGATTCAGCAGAACCGGACTATGTTTTGTCACAAACCTTTGTGTTTCATATACCTATCTGTAGAACCCCTACAAGCTAGATAAGAGACATAACTTAGTTCAAAACTTGGACTTTAATTGGTTGCTGTATAGAGAAAACAACAACAATATTTCTGTGTCTGATTTCTTGTATTGACACACTACAGATGTCTTTCAATCCCCAAAGCAACCAAAGTGAGCTACAGCAATCATATCCTTCCAAGTGAGATCCTTCCAATGGTACCAGCTATGTAGACAAGATAAATATCGTCAGTGTTGGGTTTTACCCATGAAACCTGTTTCACAAACATGAAAGGCCACTTGGTTTTCTGACCCATTTTGCTAATTCTGGAGATTGTTTGAGCAATTACACTGCCTCAAGTCAGAGAAAGATATATCAAACAAAGGGCACTCCTCACTGAATGAGTAAGCAAACGCAACTGATTTCTTGGTGAAACCATTTTTGTGGTTGAGAAAGAGATGCGGAAAATGAAAGGTACTGGCTTTGATCCAGTGGGGTGTTTCTGCAGGCAGAAGGATTTCCTCCCAGAGAGCTCCAGACTGGCTTAGTAGAACATTTTGAACATTCATTGATCCATTTGGCTTGCAATCACACCATTGCTTAGCCACCAGCTTCAAGGGCACATCTCTCTCTTCCTTCTTTCTATTCTTATCATATGCAGACTAATGCCCTGTTTATGTTTTTATGTAACTGATCAAACACTGTGCATATTAAAGTTGTCAACACTAGTCATCATAAAAAATAATTCACCAGTATGTGACTCTGGCTTTACTTTTATATTATACTAGCAAAGTGGTTGCCATAGGTCAGTGGTGGCGAACCTATGGCACGGGTGCCAGAGGTGGCACTCAGAGCCCTCTCTGTGGGCACGCGTGCCATCGCCCCAGCCAGGCCCAGACCATCATTAAAGTGTCGGATTCTCTGTCAAATAATTTTAAGTAAATGAAAGCATTTGGGACTGCTTTCCTTACTTTGTTTGGATCATCTTAAGTTAATGTGTGAGTTGTTTTTTCTAAAGTAAAACCTCAGTATTCAGGTTAAATTGCCGTGTTGGCACTTTGCGATAAATAAGTGGGTTTTGGGTTGCAGTTTGGGCACTCGGTCTCTAAAAGGTTCGCCATCACTGCCATAGGTTAATGTGGCTACTGTATTGCCAGCTTTTTACCAACTTCAGACAACAGTTCAGGACTTCTACTAAACAGGAGAAAGTTGGGAATCATCTCATTTAGGCTGGGCCCAATCTAAATCACCAGACAACCCCTTCCAGAACCTTTACGTGAGTATAGAACTGCATGGGAAACAGAATAGCTATCCCACCAGGTCCCGCATATTCCAGACTCAAGGGGCCAAAAAGCAGTCCACTGATGTCTCCTTCTGTAATCTGTTGTCCAAGTGAGAAGAGAACCCTCACAGCGTAGTGTTCCCACTGCCCCTCACTGTGAACAGCTCCAAAAGGAATCCGTACTCAATCGTACTAAAGGTTTCTGTCGCAGTCAGAGTCAACACGGCTGCCTGTGCCCCAAAACCAGTCTGAAAGTCAGACTAAAATGTGGCCATCTGATTTCTTCCAAGAAGGGTTGGCATTGCTCAGTCATCAAAACAGGATAAAGCAAGCAAAAGCACCTTTGGTGTAGTGGTTAGGAGCGTGGAATCTAATATGGGAGGACTGAGTTTGATTCCCCACTCCTCCCCATGCTGCTGCTGGGTGACCTTGGGCAAGCCATAGTTCCCTCAGAGCTGATCCCTCAAGAGCAGTTCTCAAAGAGCTCCATTAGCCCCACATACCTCACAGGTTAGGAGGAAGGGGAGGAGATTGTAAACCACTCTGAGACTCCGAGTGAAGGGTGGCTTATAAATCTAATCTCTCCTCCTCCTCCTCTCTTCCTCTCCCTTCTTCTCCTTTGAGTGATGGGAAATCTAGGGAGCAGTGTTCCCTCTAAGCTGAATTAGTGTGAGCTAGCTCACAGTTTTTTTAGCCTCCAGCTCACACATTTCTGTCTCGGATCAGGAAGGAGGGCTCCAGAGCAAACTAATTTATGCAGGAGCCAAATCACTTGCTCACAACTTTAATGCCAGTAGCTCACAAAGTAGAATCTTTGCTCACAAGACTCCACAGCTTAGAGGGAACATTGCTAGGGAGTGATGCTGCAATTAATGTAAATGAAGATGCTTTCTGTTTCAATTTTTTTAAAAAATGAAAGCACACAAGGGCCAATGGACTTGACCTGACATGTTTCGGCCTGTATAGGCCTTCTTCAGAGGTCAAACACAATGAGGAGCATATTGGCTTATATCATAATACAATACAATCATACAATTATGCAACACAGATACAAGATGGACCAGAAAAGAATTGCTGTAAAAAATAGAAAATTTTTGAAATTAAGTACATATAATAAAATGAATAAATAAATGATACCTATATTCTACTAAAAAAAAAACATATTGACTTACTTACAAAGTGAAACCACTAGGCAAAGAATAAAAGTATAAATGAGGCCTCCAAAGATGCAATCACATGCCAAATGATGTTTCACTGATAATAATCTAAAAGCAAAAAAAAAAAAAGTATAAACCAATGCATTCTACAATATTGAAACTTACTTCAAAAAGTAATTAATAAATAAAATTATTTTGTTACTTCTGGTCCAGAAAGTGCCTTCCAGTGATTGTTTAGCCAAAGCGTCCTCTGTAAAATTGTCCCTTAAGCAAACAGCAGTGCTGATAAAGTAAAGTGCTGGAGCTTTATACCAGGTGAAGAATGATGCAATCCTTGTGGAGTGCCTTGAAATAGTCACGTGATTGCACATCCCACATACAGCATAACATACAGCAAAACGCGTCAGGTCAAGCCTGAGCCGGCCTTGCTTGGGAGGACGGGGTAAAAATCCAATAAAATAAATAAATACATTTTGTAGTGTATTCAAAGCTGCCTTGAATGCATGACATGTTGTGAAACATCTAACTGAACTGTATTGTTAAGCTTCGTCCTGGGCTAGGATCCAAATCCATCCAATAGTATTGCTAGCCCAGGAAGTAACAAGCCAATCACTTCAAGCAAGCTCCCTGAGCGGGAACTAATGTGATTGGACCTTATCTCTGCAACCTCATAGGTTGATATTTATACAGTGGGTGTGGCTACATTAGCCGGGAATGTTTAAAAGCAGGACAGCTGCAATGTAAAGGCTGTCCTGACTATCAGATGTTGATCCGTGTTGGAGTTGTGTTCGAGTTGAAAAATAAAGTTGTGTTCTTGCTGAATCACTCTCCGACTGCTTTGTTAAGTGAGCGACTTAACACATTTAAAACTACAAAGCAATATAAATGCCAGACTAAATTTTAAAACTGTAAAAAAAATAATACCACACACCAGTCCACCTGTTCATTTAGACTATATGGGGTTAAAGTTTTGAGGGCATGGATCCAAAACAATTCTCTGGTTTTCAAGTGCTGAGTCATCTGCAGATTCTTGCAAGGTCAAACCTATTCCAGAGCAAAGAAAGAGAAGTCTCTATCACCGTGTCCAGCTGCAACAAAGTGATCGGTGAGGGGGAGCGTACCTCAATTTTCTCCTTTTTTCTGCTTAGACTGTATCAGAAAGTAAATGGTGATGTGAAGTGTGCTATTGTGAAAATGATGGCGCTTTCTCCTCTTTGTCTGAAATTTGATAGGCAGGAGGATTCATAAGAACATAAGAACACAAGAGATGCCTGTAATGTATTGGAACAATTATATGAATCACCTCATTGAACTCCTATGTTAAGCTTCGAGCCAAGCTAGGGCTCCTCTGAACAAACTTCCTATTGGTCGCTCTGTAACAAGCGACCAATCAGAGCTGTACTATTCCCTGCGAGGGAAAGACTCCTATTGGTCTTTAACTCATCAATCTCATTGGTTGTTAACTGTAAATAGGCGTGGCTATATTAGCCCGGTAATGTTTAAAAGGAGCTTAGCTCCCACTGTTTCTTGTTCTGGTTTTGGAATGCGTTTTGAGTGTTTGCTTGCTACTTCAAATAAAGCTGAATCACTGAGCTGAAATCATTCTCCGATCCTTTGTTAGTGCGATCTAACAATGCCAATGTTGGATCAGGCCAAAGGCCCATCCAGTCCAACACTCTGTATCACACAGTGGCCAGAAATACCAGTGCCATCAGGAGGTCCACCAGTGGGGCCAGGACATTAGAAGCCCTCCCACTGTTGACCCCCCCAAGCACCAAGATGACAGAGCATCACTTGCCCCAGAGTCCCTATCTATACCTTGTGGCTAATAGCCACTGATGGACCTCTGCTCCATATGCTTATCTAATTCTCTTTTGAAGCCGTCCATGCTTGTAGCCGCCACCACTTCCTGTGGCAGTGAATTCCAGGTGTTCATCACTCTTTGGGTGAAGAAGGACTTCCTTTTATCCGTTCTAACCCGACCGCTCAGCAATTTCATGGAGTGCCCACGAGTTCTTGTATTGTGAGAAAGGGAGAAAAGTACCTCTTTCTCTACCTGCTCTTTCCCATGCATAATCTTATAAACCTCAATCATGTCACCCCTCAGTCGTCGTTTCTCCAAGCTAAAGAGCCCTAAGCGCCTTAACCTTTCATCATAGGGAAAGTGTTCCAACCCTTTTATCATTCGAATTCCTTGGATACAGGGTTATCAGTCACTCAGAATTTTATCCCAGGTGGATGCGGGGGGGGGGATTACAGCCAGAAATAGATTCCCCAGATCTGAAATAGTTTGAAATAAATGAATAGATCTTTTAAAAAAGTATGTGCAATATCAATAACAAAGGTCCCGGATGTTAACTCTAAATTGAACCAACAATGAGCCACTTCTTTTAAATTTTTTGTCCACATCACATACCTCGATAAGTTACTGAAGTCTCGTTACACAAAAATGAAGTTCTCGCTTCCTTTGCATCCCTGATATCTAGACAGGTTGAAATGGAGCAAGGGTCTTACATTCGTGTCAAAACATTTGTCATTAGTTCAATGGGAAAACAATTCAGAAAGTCATGTTCAACTGTCAGAAACTTCTTAATAACTATACATTCAGTAGATAAACACAACGATTCACTGGCAACACTACTCTTTGGACCCAATAGATCATTAACTAGCTTAGCCTTCCAGATAATATGGTGCTGAACTTTCATTAAGGAGTCAAGAGAGTTTAGACCTGTCCTGTCATGTTTCCATTTGATGAATTAGACACCACCCATTCAAACACAGGGTTTTTATAGATCAAGCCCATAGCAAATTGGAGAATATTTCTTATAAAAGGCATGGGTTGGATGATTGGTGGGAGCTTATACTGGGCCAGGTCTATATAAGGAAAATTGTGTGGCTCACTTCAGGGGACAGAAACAGCCCTTGTCCAAACTCCGTTGCAAATTTCTCTGTAACCTCCACAAGCCACTTCTTGTTAGTGCAAAATGGATTGGCTGGATCCTATTTCTGTGTTGTTCCTACTTGCCCTCGCACTTGCATTCGTTTGGAAAAGAAGTGATTTCTGGAAGAGCAGTAGCAAAAATCTCCCACCGGGACCACGGCCATTACCACTCATTGGAAACCTCCACCTCATGGATGTGAAGAGGCCTTACAGAACCATGATGAAGGTAATCTATTTGTTTGTTTTGTTCTAGATCCATGTCTTGTGTTGCTCTCACAGGGCAGTGAGACTTTTCAGTTTCTCCATCCCAAATGCGAACATTAATGTGAAGACATACATTGCATAAAACGTACTTGATGTATTAGTA